TTTTTCACCCATTCCATGTGTGCACATGTGTATATGCAGTGAGTTATAAAGACATGACATGCTGTCCTTGCCAGAATTGCTTCCTTTCCCTCCGAGCATCCAGAGCTGCAAGGGGCATCAGGGCAGAGGCTGAGTGTGTGAGCCTCTACTCGATCCTGGTTTCCAATGGAGTAAAATCCAAACCCACTCTCAGGTTTGTAAAATCATTGCTTCCTGCCCGAATCACCCCCTCTAGACTGAGTGAGTGTTCCTTCCCTTCCTTATTCTCTAAATAAGACAAGAACTTTCCAGAATGCACTTCTAGGTAGAGGGTCTACCTAGGTGTGGTGGCACACGCCTGTTTTTCCAGCACGGGGTGGAAGAAGGAGGTCTGTCAGTCTGAGGCCAGTCCTGGTTACATCGTGAACCCCTAGGTGGAAAGGGGAAGAAGGAAGCACAGAAGAACTTTCCCATTTTTCTGCCAGGTACTCTCAGCCCTCAGAAGCCCATGCTTCTCTTCCTTTCCCCAGGAATCGCATGCCAAAGCTTTCTACCCCCATGCACTACCTCTTCCTGTCTCCTTTACTCGAACTACACCACACGGTGCACCTGTTGTTGACTTCTGGCCTGGAGGTGGCTACACTGTTTCGAGTTCCCTACCCACTTTTTAGACTAATCAGTACTCTCAACAATCACAGGCAGCTGGCTGGCTGCTGGGGCTCAGTTAACTCCTTTAGCTAGATCTCAGCCTCCCAGTCCTCTAGAAGAGGACATGCCTGCCTCATGGAAGCTCCGCTGGCTGAGTCGGATGCTCCCCACGCCGCTAGCATATGGTGGGACTCAGAACTCTATTTCTGCTCTGGTACTCACAAGCTGTTGGTAGTGACTATAGCCAAGATGCTCACTCCATGCTTGCAAAATGAGGTGTTAGATTAGGTAATAACTTGATTTATCCACAGAAGGAAGAAACAAAACAAACACACAAAAAAAACCACCTTCCACTGACATTCCCTTGGGGCCTGAGGTCTGTGGTTCCTAGAGTTAATCAGCTGACTCAGAGCTCTACTGTCAGACCAAAGGGAAGAGGGCAAGGTGACTCAGAACCTTCCCTGAGATGATGAAGCAGCAGGGTGGGGGTGATGCGGGAGTCCCCTCTGTGTGCTGTGAATATGTTTTATTACTATTGGTTAATAAAGAAACTGGTTCAACCAATGGCTTAGCAGAGTAAAGCCAGGCAGGAAATTCGAACAGAGATATAGAAAGAGAGTAGGCGGAGTCAGAGAGATGTCATGTAGCAGCTGAAAGAGACAGACACCAGATCCCTAACAGTAAGCCACAGCCTCGTGCCGATACACACATTAACAGAAACGGATTAATTTAGGATACAAAAATTAGTTAATAAAAAGCCTGAGCTAATAGGCCAAATAGTTTTATAATTAATATAGCTTCTGTGTGATTATTCGGGTCAGGGTGACCAGGAAACGAAAGAGCCATCTCTGACTATGGGGCCGGGGAGGGCTATCAACAAACCCTCTGGCTTCCCTTGCACTTGCATTCAGTGAACTTGAATCATCCACTTAGGGTAGGTAAGAGGGCTCAGGGAGTGAGGGCACTTGGCGCTAAGTCTGATAACCTGAGTTTGATCACTGTGACCCACAGGGTGGAAGGTGAGCACAGGCTCCTGGAATGTCTTCGGACTTCTACATACGTGCCTGGGTGGCACCAGGAACGCTAACATGGCCTGGAGGCCAGGACGCTAGGAAGCTGGCGCTCTTGACTAGCTGGCTTTAGCAAAGGAAAACTGGGACTTGTTATTGTTTGTGTTCCTGTTTCCTCTGACCCCTCCCCTCCGCACATGCTGATTCTTTGCTTCTGCAGACTCGCAGTAAACAGCTACCAGGACCAGAAGAAAAGGCTGGGGCCCTTCATGCCTATCTAAATTATAGTAACTTTGGGGACACCAAATCCTTTTGAACCGGACTTACAGAAGTGTGCTACAGCAGTCTGTTATGGGTGCTGGGAACCAAACCTAGGTCTTTTGTGGGGCATCCACTAGAGGAAACTACTCGGGCAAAGGTTAAGCCAACAGAATGTATTTCTTAGCCATATAGTGACTATACTGGGCATTTGAGATCCCAGTGTAGCCCTGAACCTTTCTCAGGGTGAGTTTTTAGGCAGAAAATCATATCTTGGGTTGACACACCTCAGGAAGTAAGACTAGTTAGCCAGAAGCAGCACAAAGAAGACAAAAAGCAAGCTTAGTGCATAGAGAGATTTCCCCAGACCTATGGACTTTGATAGATTAGGTCTTGGCAGGTGGTGTTGTCTACAGTGCTGAGTTTTATGGCCCTAACGGTACTTTCATCACGACATCGGTTGTGGTGAGAGCTGGCGGACTACTAAAGCCTGGGAGCCTGTCACGGGTCCTCTGCGAAAGCAGCAAGTGCTCTCAACCACAGAGCCACTTCTCCAGTCCAAAGCCAAATTCTCTAAATGTAGATCTTTACTTATTTGGATTCAGGGTTTCACTGTGTAGCCCAAACTGACCTAGAACTCTCCATGTAGTCCGCCATGGCTTCAAGCCTGCCGTTCCTTTGTCTCTGGTTCGCAGTTTCTGGGGTTATGAGCACATGCCGCCATAGGAAGCTCCTTTGGCTCTAATAGATTCTTCAAGAACCCTTTTGGCCAGGCATGTCTGTGAGCTGGAAGCCAACTGGAACTACATAGTGAGACCCTGATTCAAAACAAACTCCACTGAATAAAAGCTCAACCAGACCAAACCAAAACCCTTTTGACTGATACTCCTCCCCCCCATACCCTACTCCCCACTTCCTTGTTCTCATTCTGGCGACTGAAACCAGAGTCTTATACATGCTGGGTATCTACAGGGCTTTGTGGATGTTAGGCAGGCAGCGCACCACTGTGCCGTCCTAGTCAGGAAGCTTCTATGTTACAGGACAAAGCAAAGCGCTAAGAAGACACTTTGGAAACATTTTTGACTGGAACGTGAGGTAGACAACACAAGGAAATTGCTACTAATGTCAAATGCTACATCCCCAACCCTGTAAGTTTTTCACACACACAGAGTATGGAGGAATGAGGGATTCAAGGTAGCCAATGAATCTGCCCAGTTTCAGTTTTATTTATTTATTTATTATCTATTTTTTTTTTTTACCCAAACAGGGTTTCTCTTTATAGCTCTGCTTTTCCTGAAACTCACTGTCTACACCAGGTTGGCCTTAAACTCAGAGAATCACCTGCCTCTGAGTGCTGGGACTAAAGGAGTGTGCCACTACTACCAGGCAGTTCTCTCTCTCTCTCTCTCTCTCTCTCTCTCTCTCTCTTACACACACACACACACACACACACACACACACATTTAAAAGAAGTGAAAACAGTGGACAGTACTATGACCTTCAGAGACTGCCTCATCAAGCCAGGTGACTTTTCCGTATTCCCACTCACTGTACAGAGAGACCCGTGCACAGCAAGCATCCTGCTGGCTTTAGGATCCAGTCTTTTACGGAGAACAAATCTATCCCTCCTGCGATTAGTGAGCCTCTTCTGATTTAAAAGTATGCTTTCTGGGAGTTTGCCTGGCGTAACTAATTCCTGGTAAGCAAGAAAATACCTCCAAACCTAAGTATTCTGGGCTTTGTGTGTGTGTGGGGGGGAGGAAATGGAGGGAGTGGGGGGGAGGATATGGAGGGAGTGGGTACCTGCTTTATTATTATTATTATTATTATTATTATTTTGGTTTATTCGAGACAGGGTGGGTCCCTGCTTTAAAGGAGTCCAAAGTCTAGTGATGGAGATGGATGGGAACACAAATTATTGTAAAATAGCATGGAAAATGCTTAGAGTATGAATGGAACTTTGGGAGAGAGAGAGAGAGAGAGAAAGAGAGAGAGAGAGAGAGAGAGAGGAAATTGCATTCCAGGAGGAAAAAGTTGCATTTCATAACATGAAATGGCTGTTTTCAGAAAGATTCATTTGAGCCGGGCGGTGGTGGCGCACGCCTTTAATCCCAGCACTCGGGAGGCAGAGGCAGGCGGATCTCTATGAGTTCGAGGCCAGCCTGGTCTACAAGAGCTAGTTCCAGGACATGCTCCAAAGCTACAGAGAAACTCTGTCTCGAAAAACTAAAAAAAAAAAAAAAAAAAAAAAAGAAAGATCCGTTTGGGTCCTTGAAAAACTGAGAGGAGATTTCTGTTCAGAAAGACAGACCTCAAGATCCTCTATTTTGGCTACAGCCAGAGAGCTTTTTCAGGCAACCACAGTGAATCTTACAGGGGCGCAGGTTCAGAAAATTACGGGAGACTTGTGTTGAAAATGATCAGGTCTCCAGTGTGTCAGTGTCTGAGGTTTAAACACCCGCCCTGCCGCAGCCCGTCTGTCTTCATCGCTCTCAAACCCTTCAGCGTTATCTTTGCTGAGTGTGTTACTCAACCTCTGAAAGTTAATCATTGACGCTGCTCTAGTCTGTGCTTGTGGAAACAGAACTGTGGATGCCCGGCAAGGGTGGTGGTCAGAAGACCTTTCTTTTCTTTTGAATTTACTTGAAGGGTCCCCCCAATCTTAATAATTTCTCCTCTCCCCCACTACTTTTTTTTTTTTTTCCGAGACAGGGTTTCTCTGTGTAGCCCTGGGTGTCCCGGAACTCACTCGGTAGACCAGGCTAGTGACAAACTCAGAGATCCACCTGCCTCTGTCTCCTGAGTGCTGGGATTGAAAGTGTACGCCACCACAACTCTATGATTTCTGCTTTTTTTTTTTTTTTTTGCGTTCACTTGACCTTCACTTCTTTTGTTCTGTCTCCACCCGTTCTTCCGTATTTCCAGTTTCGTAGCTGACCAGTGTCTCTGCGGATTCCCCTTAGGTTTCCCTTACTTCCCTCTGTTCAGCCTTCTGCCTTCACTGCTGCCGGGGAGGAGCTTCTGTCGGCAGGGGGCGGGACTACAGGAGGCAGGGGGCGGGGCGGCCGCGGGCTAGGCACGGCGCAGGCGCACTGTATTCGCGGTGCCGAACTGCGGCTATGGAGCAGACACCTCCGGACCCCGAGAGGCCATTGCAGCCTGCACCCCTGGAGCCGCTGGGGGGCCCTGGCGCTGTGCTGGAAGCCGCAGTCGGCGAGGAGACCCAGGGCACCCGGGAAGACAGCTCAGGGGTCGACACGGTGAGGAGAGGGGAGGCAGAGGCTTCGGGCCTGGGGCCGGGGCCTAGCGGGCCGGGCTGCCCCTGACTGGGACTGGTGGGCGCCGCCCCCGAGGCCGGAGGATGACCCAGAGCTGAGTGGAAGTGGACCCAAAGGCGCGGCGCACGGGAGGGCCGCGTGGGCGCGGTCACGCGCGCCCGTGGTGGCGTGGCCCGCGGCTTGTCAGTGGGCGCGTCCCCCGGGATCTGGCCTCGAAGGCTCGCTGCCGTTTCCGGCGGGCCGAGGGGGTCGCTGGGAGGCGGCTCCACCCAGGGTGAGTGGGGAGTGTGCGCTGTAAGGGGGTATTGGCCTGTGCCCTGTCGGGAAACATTTGTTGAACTCCGCTTGGTCGTCATTTCGGTTTTGGGATAAGTGCCTTTCCCCAGGAGACGGATTTGATCTCCTCATCTCCACCCCGACTGTCATAGCTTTGGAAGTCCCCTTTGGTTAATCTGCGCTTTTTAACTGAGCAAAGATGGGGAGTGTATCGTTGTCTGTGAATGTGTCCATCCCAGAGGGCCTTCATAGATTTGTAGACTGTGATAAAAAAGCTTTTGGGAAGCTCATTGTGGTGCCCAGAGTCTCGACCCTCTGTGTGGTCTGTCCACTATACTGCTGCTGGTGCTCCTGTTGCTGTCTCTCCTCCCTCCCTCCCTTCTTTTTTCTTGACACCTCCCAACAGGTGTCCGTACTAAAGTAATGCGTGCATTTTTATGATTGATACATTTCTAGAAATGACCAAGTTCCGAGACAAGCTAACGAGGAATTTCTCAGCAGTTGGAGGTTTTGACCTCTTAAACTATTTCTGTGTACTTACGAGTTTAAAGCGTTAAATTTTTAGAACAGGTTTAAGCTCACCATTCAGTTGAAAGGAAAACGGGAATATTATACCATATACTCTCCTCTCACATTCAGACTCCTTTTTTTTTTTTTTTTTTTTTTTTTGGATTTTCGAGACAGGGTTTCTCCGTAGTTTTTGGTTCCTGTCCTGGAACTAGCTCTTGTAGACCAGGCTGGCCTCGAACTCACAGAGATCCGCCTGCCTCTGAATCCCGAGTGCTGGTATTAAAGGCGTGCGCCACCACCGGCCGGCTACATTCAGACTTCTTATCAGCACTGGTTTCTGTTACACTTGATGAGCCCAGATTGGCACCCAAAGTTCATAGTTTAAAGTTCACTTTTGGTAACCCACATTCTGTGGGTTTGGGATATGTAAGATGACGTGATCCGTCATATACTGCTACACAAACTTTTCACTGTCCTAAGAATCCCCAGTGTTTGTCTGTTCTTAACTCTCCTCATCAACCCCAACTCGTTGATCTTTTTCTTTGTTTTTCATCATTTCCATTGTTTTTCCTTTTTCAGGAATGTCATATAATGGCCTCACCATGTAGCCATAGCTGGCCTGGAATACATAGAGATCCGTCTCTCGAGATTAAAAGCATGATCTGCCGGGCGGTGGTGGCGCACACCTTTAATCCCAGCACTCGGGAGGCAGAGGCAGGTGGATCTCTGTGAGTTCGAGGCCAGCCTGGTCTACAAGAGCTAGTTCCAGGACAGGCTCTAAAGCTAAAGAGAAACCCTGTTTCGAGGAAGAAAAAAAAAAAAGATTAAAAGCATGAGCTACCACCACACTCGGCTAATACATAGTTTTGACATTAGCTTTTCTTTTATTACGTGTCTGTGTGGGTAAGACTTTCTGAGTATAGGTGTGACTTTCTGGAGTTGTGGTTACAGGAGCTGCCCGTTATGGGTACTGGGAATTGAATGTGGGTCTTTATATAAACAGTATGGACTCTTAAGATTTATTTTACTTTTTGTGTGTGTTTTGCCTAAATTCACACACACTCATATACATATATGCACCATGTGCAAGCCTGTAGAGGCCAGAAGAGGGCATTGGATCCTCTGGAAGTGGAGGTAGGGATGCTGGGAACAGAACCTGGGTCTTCTGCAAGGCCACCTTAATCACTGAGCCACCTCTCCAGCTCAGATTTAGAATATTCTCATATGTGTTTCTGTTTTGACAAGGTTTCACGATCTTGGCACTTTTGCTTTATTTTGGTAGGGTCTCTAGTTCAGGTTAGCTCTGAAGTTTTGGCAGTCCTCCTCCTTCATCCTCCCAAGTGATGGGGTTGCAGGTGTGAGCTGCCGTACCTTTGTGACTCTAAGTATCCCTAAAATAGTATATTCTTTTGACCTGATTTTGAAGTTTCATAAATGAAATATTTTTGGTATGGTTTTGTTTAGGATTTATCTCAAAAGCATTTTAACTCATTTATTTTCATGTACTCCTTTTTTTTTTCTGGGTAGTCCACTATTGGTTCATCTCTTCTGTTTATGGATAGTTGGATTATGAAAATTTTGTTGTTTTAAAGAATTACCATGAACTTCCTCTTAAATATCTTATAGTACGGAGTGTCCAAGATTCTAGTCTAAATTTAGCAGCGGCATTGCAGATTATAGGTTAGTAGTATGTTCAGCCCCAGCGGTTAGTGCTTGATTGTTTCCAAAGTGGCTTTTCAGTTTCCACTTCCATCAGCAGGGCCAGATGTGTCTTTTATGAATACTGGATATTTCCAGAGTTTAAAATGTTTTCCAAACCTGTGATTATGCCCCCACCTGCACCCTTTTCTGGTTCTGGGATTGAACCCAGAGCCTCACACATGCTAGGCAAATGCTTTACTGCAGAACTGTACGTAGCCTTTGTGTCTTTTGGCCGCATCATAAGGACTTTGATTTTGATCATGATGATAAAATTTTATTATTTTGTGAATATATTAATATGAACTCACATTAGAGAATCTAACATTCATTTGGCTATGTTAATTTGTATACATGTTAATTTATGTATAGGCGCATGCGTGTGTATTGTACGTGCTTGTGTGTGTGTGTCTATCTTTTATTTCCCATCTGATTCTCTGGTCCTTTTCCATTCTCTAATAAGAAATCTTAATCCCATTTCCTTTTGTATTCTTGGAAGGAAGAGGACATTCATTGAAACAAACAAACAAAACCAAAATCTAAAAAGCCTATAGTCAATCTTAGCAGTCAGGAGGCAAAGACAGGTGAATCTTTATGAGTTTGAGGTCAGCCTGGTCTTCATAGTGAGTTCTAAGGCAGCCAGGGCTATATATCGAGACCCTGTTTAAAAAAAAAAAACAAACAAAGCCAGGCGGTGGTGGCGCACACCTTTAATCCCAGCACTCGGGAGGCAGAGGCAAGCGGATCTCTGTGAGTTTGAGACCAGCTTGGTCTACAAGAGCTAGTTCCAGGACAGGCTCCAAAGCTACAGAGAAACCCTCTCTTGAAAAACCAAAAACAAAACAAAACAAAACAAACAAACAAGAAACAAAAACCAAACCAAACAAAAAACAACTCCCAGACAAGCCATAACAATAATTTAGAAAATGAAAGAAACAGGAGAGGAATCCAGTTGATAAGAAAAGTAGTTATAGTCCTAGCAGAAGGGAAGGGAGAGGATGGAGGTAAGAGTGCTCCTTTTCCAGGGTGAAAGCTCTTAGTGAGTTAAGAGGCTGGCACAGGAACTTGTCTTCACTCAGCGTCATTGCCTGAGGAATTATAAGTGGTTGTTTGAAGGAAAGTGCCCTAGGCCTGGGAGTGCTGGTAAAACCAAGAGAATTTGCTCAGCTGGTACTTAGAGGCATTCTCAAGCTTGTTAGCACCTTCCCTGATTGGCAGCAGGTCTAAGTGGAGCTCTGCAGATGAGGATAAGGTGAGAGGGAAGAGGCATTTTACAGGTACAGCTTGGACTTCGGATGGCTCCCAAAAGGAAGTTTGTTCCTGAGCATGTGACACTATTTGGGGGTAGTGGAATATGGAATCTAGATAAAATTAAGTAATTGAGGTTATGCCCTTGAAGGAATTATTGACACCTGTTTTAGTTATTTTTCTATTGCAATGTTGAAATTCCATGACCAAAACAACTTAAGGAAGAGTTTGTGTTGGCTTACACTTCCAGAGTGTGAAGAGTTCTTTATGGCAGGGAAGGTATGGCTTAGGAGTAGGAGCAGGAAGCGGGCTGCAAATTATACAGGAAGGAAGCAAAGAGAGAACAGGAATCAGGACGAGGCTATAAATCCTTTCAAAGTCCACCTAAGTGATGGTCTTCCTCCAAAAGGCTCTACCTCCTGAAGGTTCCATAACCTCCCCAAACAGGCCATCAGCTGGGGACCAAGTGTTCAAGTCCATGAGCTAGCCTATGGGGACATTTTTTTATTCGACTACAATACCCTGCCACCCTTTCTCTCACACATCACCCCCTGCTCTCTTATTATGACACGAGTACTCACACTCCAGCTAATGTATTGTGCCTTGCTACAGCCCCAAAGCAAGAGCCAGATCATTAGTCTGGCTTCTCCAAAGCTGCAGGCCAGAATAACCCTTCCTTTAGATAGACCCCTCAGGTAGTTTTAGTGACAGAATGATAACTAATACTAGTTAAGCTACAAATGATTAAATCATACTTTCGAAGGGCTGGGAATACAGCTTGATTTGTGGAGTGCTTACCTAGCATGCATAAAGCCCTGGATGTGCTCTTTAGCATCTTGTGAGCCTGACATGCTGGTACATGTCATTCGGGGTGTGGAGAAAGGAAAACCAGAAGTTCAGATCATTCTTGGCTATGTAGTGAGTTTGAAACCAGCCAGCAGTGCTTGAGACTCTTACCTCTAAATAAATATAATTTTAAAAATAACTTTTTTGTTTTGTTTTGTTTTCGAGACAGGGTTTCTCTGTGTAGCTTTGGAGTCTGTCCTGGAACTCACAGAGATCTGCCTGTCTCAGTCTCCTGAGTACTGGATCAAAGGTGTGTGGCACCACTGCCCAGCCTTTTTTTATTTTTTAAAGATGGTTTCACATAATCCAGGTTTACTACAAACTCACCGTGTAGTTAAAGGTGGCATTGAAGTCATGATCCCTCTACCTCCATCACCCAGGTGCTGGATTAAAGGAGTGTGCCA